CATAGAGTCGTGTTTCTCATTAACATCAAAGGGAATTATTCATGAATCGTTTATAACACCTACACCTATCGTATCACACCACATGAATCAGTGGTGGTACCACCTCACTGTAGATCTTCTGCATGGGTGGTACCATTATCAGTTAGTGGTGCCACTACCATATTATATATATATAATATACACCGGTGTATAGAGGTCATTCAGGTCAAACTGTGCAAACAGATGGCGACCGTTTCAAGATTGTCAAGATTTGAATCATTTGTAAAGGCAGCTTTGGCAAGAGATGATCACAAAGAGTTGCGGCTACTAGTGACAGGAAAGACAGGAGAAGGGAAGTCCACACTAGTCAATGGACTACTGGGGAAACATGTTGCTGTAGAGGGAGCTGGTACTGAGAGATGCACAACAGAAGTTGCAGAGCACAAAGCAATGCTCCATGGTGTACCAGTCACTGTGTATGATTCCCCAGGCCTGCAAGACTCCACAGAAAATGAAGATAAGTACTTAGCAGATATGAAGAAGAAATGTCAAAACCTCAGTTTAGTATTGTATTGTACTAAAATGACCAACAACCGTTTAAAAGAGGAAGACAAACGTGCCATTGTAAAGCTAACAGCAGAATTTGGACAAAACTTCTGGAAGTATGCTGTTCTTGTTCTCACATTTGCTAACCGTGAAGAAGTCGGAAGACGCGATGAAAGAGATAAAGATACAGGGTCCGAGCCTGATGATGATGATACAGAGAGCTGGAATGTTCTTACAAAGAAAAGATTTGAAGGTCGTGTAAAGATATGGAAGGACAGCTTTCACAAGTTTTTCATAGATGAGGTTGGAGTAAGGAAAGATATAGTGGAAAGGATCCTTGTGGTGCCAGTTGGAGATAGCAGAAAGTCACGTGATAACCCGGATCCTTACCGTCTTCCTGATCGTGATGATTGGTTTAGTGAATTCTGGAAGGCTTGCTCCTTTCGAGTTAGGGAAATTAATCTCTTCTGGGAAATAAGTAAACACCGATTTATCAGCTCTCAAGCAACACAAGATGATGCTCTAACCGATCTGGTTAGTGAAATGATTGCAATGGCAGCAGAAAATGAGGAGTTTCTTAAAATAATTAATATTGAAGTCAGTACTTAGTTTTTTTTTATTAATTGACTTTTTAAGTATAGGAATCTCCTGTACAAGACAGCACACTGCAACTTTCAGATGGACATGAAGTGGATGAGACATATTCACAAAAACTTCGAGATAATTTAAAGAAGATAGATAGAGAGAAATGGGTGAAAGAGCAAGAGGAAATAAATAAAAGGGAGAAAGGAAAAATTGAGAGGGAAGCAGAAGCAATTAGAAGAGAAAGAGCAAGAGTACAACAGCTTGAGACAGTAAGTGTATAATACTTTTTACATCATTTAATTTCAAATACATCAAGGATATTACTAATAAAAGAATTCAACTTGATCAGCAGTATAAAATGAATCTAGCTCAGGAGGTTTATATAAGGGATCCAGATCCTTGGTGTGTGATTCTTTGACATTGTTATAAGTTGATTGATTGCAATTAATATTTTGATAGCTGTTTGTGCATTTTTAGCTATAGTTATTGATATGATATCTTCAATGTTATATAGTATATAGCTCTCATATTGTTTCTGCCACTTTTAATTTTGTGCATGATTTGTTTATAGTTGCTTTCATCATTGATCACTTAATACCATGCACCATTCAGTATAGCCTAAATATTAGTATAGCAAGTGATAAGAAATGGCCGCCTGCATGGGAGAGAAACAGCTAGTTATATGGAGTGCCTGAGAGAGATGAAGAAAGAGAAGTAACCTTTTATGTGTAACTGGTATTAAACCTGCATGAGGATGGATAAGTAGATGAATAATGATTACTTTATACATGCTGGAGGTACCACTAATTCACATCTACTTCTAATCATGGTAACTCTAGCCAGGCTTTTTTCATTGATTCTAAGAACATGCAGTTGCATCAAGACAAAGATGAATCTAGTCTATGCATGCCTCGATGCATGCACATCAGACTGGTCTTGAATAATGGCCTGTTGAAGAGAGAAGAAGAGAAACTACGAATGTCACACTACTCACACAGTCATAATATAAATGCTGGCTAGCTTTAGAATTTAGAAGCACATTATCATAGTAGATCTACAGTGCCCATAGTGGTTAGGCGTGGCTAGATTAATAATGGAGTCTGATCTAAAGAGATGGTTAGCTGAAGGATTATCCAGTCAACTGCAGCTGCCAGTTGATAAAGGAGTAGTAGAGTTAGTTAATAAACTAGAGCAGTATTGTGTAGAATTATTCAGTCACTAATTCTTACGGCTAATTTGTATGGTTTAACCTGCATGCTTCAATTGAATTATGCTGCCAAATATTTATTAATTTTGTATTTTTATAATTATTATTGTCTTT